CGTCACTGACCTCTCTTTTCCTCTAGAGATTGGTCCAGTTTTGAGGGGCTCAGGGAGTAATAATGGGGGAGGGGGTGAGGGGGACAATGCACCAACAGCTCAACTACTGTCCGCATGAGAGACGTCGGACAGCTGAGACGCTCCCCGAGCTGTTAATCCTTTCTGCTCTTTTGTTTTGCTCTGGTTGTCACTTTATGTGTCACATTTTCTTTATCCAGAGAGAAAGCACTGATCTGAGATATAAATATATATATATGTATATATATATATATATATATGTATGTTGAATACTGTTACAGTACACACTGATGGAGGCAGATGTTCGTTATCGCACAAACAGATAAAGAATGGAGATGTAAATGTGTAAGATACTCTGTTGCCGTTCTGATGTTGTTCCAATGTGACCTACAGTATATTTGTTGAGAAAAAAAAAGATGGTTATCACAGACACGTTGTACTTTGTGGATGCAAAAAAATGTTCCCTGCTTTCCATTCGGATACAGATGCTGTTTGTTAATTGTCTTCACTTCTATTATGGGCCAAATACTGCTGTGACAGCTGTAGCCAACGTTGTATGTTCTTAAAGCACAGGGTTTAGTTTAAAAATGAATATAATAAAGTATAGTGTGACAGTGCAGATATGCAAAAGATTGTAATGTTTTATATTACCTTCATAAAATATTAAAGTGAGTTTTTACTTTTCTAATAAAGTGGCACATTATAACGCGTGTTGGTCTTTCGCCTGTCTCATTGCGTGGAGGGAGATACCAAACAGCGCTACAGCAGCCTCGCGTGGTTTGCAGCTCGCAATAAATAACATTTTGCTCGGAGGAAATTGAGCAATAGACTGTAAGTGTCTGGAGTTGGGCGGATGTATTGGAATAGATTAGAAAAAGAGGCATTCAGGTGCCTCCAACCACTGAAATACAAATAGATGCAGCTATCAAAACAGCCTGTGATAACATTGTCATGACCTGCACATTTCCAACAATGTGTAGGTCAAAAAAAAAGTTACTTAATAAAGAGACATGATGCTTGCATGTGCATCAATTCACCAGTATTATGTAAACAAAGCATACACCAAGAGTACACAAGAACACCAATGGCAGAGTAGTACCAGTAGTAAAGCAGAGTCATACGAATGCAAACTCTTTGAGGGAGCGTTGAATCATAAACCTGCACCGCAGGACTATTTTCTCGGATTGCATTATTTTGCGCTGTATGGAATCCAGGAAAATATTCTTTTCATTTCACGTCAGAAACTAAATGTTTTTGCAGAAATAAGGGGCGGGGTGGTAACTTTAAGGAAGAAGAGAAAAATCTAAAAAAAGAAAAAAAAAAAGCCTTAAATGCGCCGGTTTCTCCTGGAGCCGGCAGGCTGTTTTCCTCCTGCTCACCCCGCCCTCGCCGCCTCGCAGGCCGGCTCGGCGACGACAAACACCGGCCGGTGAAACTGTGGGACGCGCCCCCCTCCGCTCTCGTTGGTGATTGACGCAGTCAAACCAGCCAATCACGGGCCGCTTCGCAGTGGACGCGTGCCAAAGTGCAATGTTTATGTACGCGGCCGACCAATGGGCGCGAGGCCGAGGGGGCGTGGCATTCTTTTTGGAGGAAAGAGGCAAAACAACATTTTATCCCCCCACCCCCCCCCGGCCGGGCGGCTTTTTGGATATCCTGGGTGGGTGGTGGTGGCAAAACTTTACACGTAGACTAGAACCGGAGTTTAGGACACCCTCGACAATCCTGATAAATGTCTCCAACTCTCAGATTTTGCACTAAATTCTATAGAAAGCTGGTTTTCTTTCTTTAGTCCGTCTGAAAAATAAAATGGATTCCAGATACATTTCGGAGCAGCAGCCGTTGGTCGGGGCGAGGGTCGTCGGCCCCGGCTTCGGCTGCCGGGCGGGCCGCTCGGTGATCCGCGACAACCGGGTCCCCGCGGCGGGGACCGTCGGCCCGGCGCCGGCGTGCGCTAACGGGCCCGTTTTTTACAAGTGTCGAGCGGACGGCGGCTGCGCGCGAGGGACCGGGCCGTCTGCCGGTGGTCGAATGTTTCACGACGCGGAAAAAGTAAGCAGCGGGTTTCCGTTTATTCGCCTTTTTTTTTTTATTTCTGTCTCCATTGGCCGTTCAAAGTGAACCGCACGCGCGAGTTTTACCGCGGCGCGACGTCACGTCCCCACGCCGCGACGTGCGGACGTTTGACAGCTCACCTTCGTGTACGGTGTTTTTATTGTGTCGCCCTTAAACTACTTTGTTTGTTGTTTGTGTTTTTTTGGTGTTGTTTTTTTTTAAGTCAGGCGGTACATTCTTTACCAACTGCTGCCGTTCGGCGGTAATAACGTGGTGTTTGACCCGCTGTAAATGGCGGCTCATTCGGTGTGCAAAGTTTACAGAAAGAAAAGGGGGGCAGGGACTTCAAACTACCGGCCATTCCCTCCCCTCCTCCACCCCCGGAGCCGGAGGGTGGAGCCACGGTGAGGGCTCCAGCCACCGCCGAACCCGCGGTGGTGCTTCTCGGTCGACATGTGATACGTTTTCGGGTCGTTTGTGCGGCAGAGATTTTTATTGCATGACGTTTAAACCTAAATTGTTATTTTTTTGCATTCAGTTCGCTTGCACGTGTGTGTTTTCTCCCTGCAGAGGGAGTTGATGTCGCCATGTGAGTTACTTATTGACACTGCGACATTAAATATGCGCAGGTGGTGAACTGTCGCCGTGGCCTTTGGGTTCGGATAAGCCCAGATAACAGTTTAGTTTAGTCAAATAAGTTGGAAGAACGTACATCAAAGGTTTTTGCGAGAAGAAAAACATTTTTCACAGAGCTGCACAGATCAACTTAGTTAAATATAAAAGTTTGCTGTCTACTTTTTATATCGTTTTCATTTCATATGCAATTTATTATCGTTCAATGGAATGAGATCGAGAGGAAATCCTACTTAAATATTTAATAACAATTTAAACATTCCACAGATTTGACGTGGAATATTTTGAGGGTTTCTGTCACACTTCACACATTACCACCTGTTTGATGGGATTAACAGACGGTGGATTCGTGGAAATAACTTTTCCTCCTAAACTTCCTCCTAAAAGTTTCCTAACAAAATAATACATTGTAAAGTACGTTACTCAAACACGGGTGTACAAAATAAGTTAGTCTTATCATATTTAATTTTTTTTCACCTATTTAGTACACCTTTACTGTCTGATAATAATAGTAATTAAACAAAAAATCTTTCTAGCGATGTCTCGTTTCTTGGTTTTCACTCTCCGCCACTACACGCTGCTGTGGGACTAAAAAGTCATTATCTATGTCTTATCTTATATATATATATTGCCTTTGAGATATGAAATCATTGTGATTGAAGATTCTGAGCATATCGCCCAGTCAAATGTAATAAACAAATCTTTAGCTTTTCGTTTTTGGAAGAAAACATTTCTATTTATTATTTTAAAACAAATTTAGAGCCCCAAATCTATAAAGCAACAATCTATCAAATAGCTGGCAGGGTAATTGCTTTTCTTTAGTATCATGTTTCGCCGTTGAGCCCATTTTCCATCTCAAGTTGGAATTAAAGGAAGTTCACATAGAAGTAAAGTCGGCCGGCTCCAGATGGAAGCTCGTCATAATTGATCAGGTGTTCACAGCATTACTTCACCTCAAGATTCATGACCGAAGTAAAACCATACATTTGAAAACCTTCAGAAGAGGAGTGAAGATGTTGAATCTGTTGACGAGATGGTTTCTATCAGAACATGAATTCTGACCGTCGGCTCCAGAACGATGGATTGACCTCGACGTGTCCCCTTCATTTCCAGACCCTCCCCGGGGACCACAAAGACTCGGGCTCCTCAGGCATCTTGAAGAGGGCCAGCCCGACCCACTGCCCCGCCGCGAACGGGCAGTCGCCGGGCGGCTTCGTGCACTTGGACCTCAGGAACCCAGGGAAACAGGCGGAGCCGGCCCACGGCCTCAGGGCGGCACAGGGGCGCAGCGGGCCCCGCCCTTCCTCCCACATCCCCGTCCCCAGAAACAGGTACGGAGGGGATTTACTTCTCATCCGCGGAGCCGTGGTTTGTTTCTGCTCACTCGGCCTACGAGCTAATTCCACTGCGGGATTTTGTGGCGGGGCGAAAGAGACGTGTTCCTCGGCTAGAATAGAAATGGAACTCGGCCTTGGCATATGGCGGCTTGGAGCTTGAGCGCTCGACCGCGCGTTTGGTGTTCCGTCCAGGGGGGGTTTTGAAAGAGAGAGCCAGAGCCGGAGGTGAGGGCCAGGATTGCCTCAGGCAAGGAGAACAGAGTAAATAGAGTAGGAGGACGATGTTTTCTAGTAAATCAGGAAAACCACATTCAGTTTTCAGGAATCGGGAGCCTTCATGACTATGTCTTAGGTGCTTACTGATATTCCTCCATCATCCAGAGTGCGTCAACAATGGTCGTGCATGCAGCATATTCCGATTTAGGTCCAACCGTATGATTAAATACGTGCAAATTTTGCAACGCCGACTTTTGGAATGAAGGAATGAAAGAGGGAGGCTGCGTTGGGTCAGAGGTCATCCACCAGTCAGGAATAACAGTAAAATATTCCTTTTCACGAGCCATTTGAGCAGATGTCTCTTAAGCCCGATAATATCCCTCCTGACGAGCTAAGCTAGCGGATGCACCAGTGCGATGAGCTCACAGTGGGTCAGGCAGGAAGCTCCGCCTGCAACTGTGTGTGTGGTTTCTTTTTAGGTTTCATGTGCTGCGTGGGGACTTTTTCCTCCTTTCGCTTTTTGCATGATTTCAAAACATATACACGTGCACATCTGTGTTCGGAAAATTCTCTGTTGGTGTTGAAGCAAAAATGCACGCCGAAACAACCGACCGAAGAAGGGAGAAAATGCCTGGTGCGGTGATGAGTGATTATGTAACGGGCTGCAGGCGGGGCCCGAGCACAGCTCCCCTCCTTCCACGCGCGCTATTGGTTACTGTCTCTGTCGAGGCGCTGTCGGTCTGCCAGGCGGCGCTTACGCAGCAGACGATGCCCGGTGGCAGTACAGTAAGGTCTGAAACAGAGCAGCTCTTCACTTAATCTGCATAGCAACACCCGGGGGCTTTTTTTCTTCTTTTTAGTCTTAGCAATGCTTCTATTTTGCACAAATGGATTTGAAAACATCTGCAGTTTGTCAAACAAACAGATTTCAGAGTGCCTGACGGTGGGCGGCGTGTGTTGAGGGCCACGGTGACCCACATCCCACACATCCCAACGTCACGTGAACTTGTCGTGCCGCTGGTCATGTATGACAAGAGGCAGCGGGCGAGTCGCCCGTTGAGCGCTGGGTGACTTCTCGCTGGCGCCACAACAGAAAGCTGCGAGTTGACTCTCGTCTCTCTGGAGAGGTTGCGTAACATTATATTAGCCACGCCCCTTCTGCTGACCTTTTCTTATTAACTTGCTCTCTTTTTTCTTATCCACAAGCCACATTTCAACTCAAACCTTTGTATTATTCAGTCTATTTGGAAATGTATTAATGTATGAAAATATATATATATGAATATATTTTCAAATGATTTACATTTTAGTTTTCTATTGGTCTATTTTTTTAACGTATTGCGCTCGTTAAAATTGTATTATTTTATATACATATAGAAAAATGAAATGCTAAAAATAAATGAAATGAATAAATGTCATTATACTTAGCATAGCTGCTTCCAAAAGTACAATTCGTGTCAAAAGAAAATGTACAATGAAATGAATCTAAAACAGCAACTACTATAAAAGAAAGGGGAGGAGCAAACTGTTTGACTGTACAAATCTCTCTATATATTTAACAAACCTATAGAGATGTGTGCAGTGACCAAACTTCTGTATGCATCTTGTATTAAATATATACAAATATATATATATATATATATATATATATATATATATACACTGTAGTTAATATCCAGATGTTTGTGCTTTTCATCACAAAAAACCCGGCGTGGACACTCTCACTCCTCTTCCTGGTAAGGGTTACCGTGGCGACACTTCGTCACTGTCATTGCAACCACTCATTACCCTCGGGGTACCGGCACTGGGGCCGGCCTGCCCTCTGTGTTGCCGGATTAAAAAGCTTTAAAGACCCCGCGGCCAGAAAGCCGGCGCTCGCCTTACGTGTTGCATCTCACATGCACACACACACACACACACACACCGTGCAGGTCGCACCTTGTCTTGTCGTGTTTTCGGTGGTTTAAAAGTAGGTCGCTGTCCTTTTGTACAAGCCCGCGCAAGACTCGCAGTAGGCGTAACCGATGGAGCGCTGCAGGGGATGATGTAATGAGAGACTGAACCCTAAAGCCTAATGCTTGGATGATGCAGAAGTTTGCACGTTTTTGCAGGGTAATTCTCACAAATCCCCCCCCCCCCCCGAGTCTGAAGCCAACGGTTATGAACTGACAACATATTTTCACTTCATTTTCACCAGGATTTTGGTAAAATTAAAATAAATTTGAGTTCCCTGTCTGGGAACGTAATTGCAGCCCAGCCCTTGCCTCAGAATCACCAGGAGGGTTTGGACCGGCTGGCTGGAGCAAAGTCCACCCGCTCCTTCCCAAAGGAGACATTACAGCCAGCTGTCGAGGGTCAGACACCCCCCCCCCCCCCAATCCAGTCTGGAATGCTTAACCCACATCCAAACTGCTGACATGGCGTCTCAAGTGGAGCCGGACGCCGCGGCGTTGTGATTCCCTCGTTTCTTCTCCCCCTTCTTCCGGACCACAACAGGTCAAAGCTCTTGCACGGACAGGGGGACGGGCGGGGGCCAGGTGGGGGTTAAAGGTCATCCTTTATGAATGCAGTCATGTGACAGAGCGGGGTCAGATCAGGACGAGAGCCGGCATGTGGCACGTCCTCCGCGGGGCGTCCCCGTGACCTGGCAATGTGCAGCGTGGACAAGCTATCGGCGCTGTCCCCTGGCTCCGAGGCGTCTGGGGAGAAAGACGTCTTTTAACAGTGAAGAGAGAAGCTCCGGCTAACAGGTGAACATGTGCGTGTACGCTTGACAAATGATCATCAATGGGAGGCACAGAGGAATGTTGTTTCAGACAAAATGTCATCATTACGTTACGCTGTGAATGCTTCGACTGAACATCTGTCCCCCGGCCAGATGCTGTAGGGAGGGAATAAAAAAATAAAGACCATCACCGAGAGGGAAGAAAGCTGTTGTTGCTGCAGCACAGAGATTAGTTCTGGCTCGCTGATGGACGCTCGCGTCGGGCCTCCTGGTCGAGCGGAGGCCCCAGCGGCCTGGACAAGTTGCCTATGTCGTTGTTGTCTATCGAGCTGTCCCCGCGGGGACGTTGACCACTTCCAACTTGTTTGGTGACCGGACAGAAATCCCCTCGGAGTAGTGGGCCGACGTTACCAAAATGCAACCTCGCTGTGATAGAAGAGATGAAAGAGCTGTGAATCGAGGCTCTCGCCAGCTACAATATCAAAGCAGCCTTTTAATATGGAGAGAAAATGGCGCTAATAGTTTAGCTTCTTTTACACACACACACTCACACACTCTCTCATCATAAGTCATCCCAGTTTGCTGATGACAAGCAGAGAATTTCAGCCCAGACTCCAAACAGAGCGGAGTCTGGGAAACGCCCGACTCTCCAGATTGTGCAGAGACATTTCTAATGTCTTGATTGGTCCTCGTATCCTCTTCCTCATTACCTAGAAAAAACATTCAGTTTTCTCCCTGTTAAGAAATAACTAACACAAAGAGAAAAATAAACCCACCCCGAATGAGAATGAATTTACTATTCTCTTCCCGACGGAGATCCCCATAATGTTCATGATGGTCCTTCATCACCTCGCAGCGTCAGCACGTGAAAAGAGGTTTGTGACTCCAACCTCCTCCCTCGTGGTTGAAGGATCCTCGAGTCCTGGACTCCCGGCTTCTTCTGATTGATTTGGTGTTGACTTAGTTGTGAGGATTTCCTTTTGCAAAAAAAGTTGTGTAATTGTGTATATCCTTTTTTTTTTTTTATCCCGAAGCTCTGCGTAGATCTGAACATCCGCTCCGCGGCAACTTCATTCAAACACGTTTCAAAGAGGCGGCCTGAATAAACACCGATATGCTGAACCCAGAACCGATGGGCCTCATAGGTCGCCAGAAACCCTCTACGCTACGCTACGTGTGTGTGTGTGTGTGCGTGAGGACATGCACGTCCTCAACAATAGCGCTGTGTGGGCCGGGATAGTGACTCATCCTCGCGAGGGCGAGACAATCAATCAAGCTGCCCTACAAGGGATCAGATTTGTGCCTTCTTTCAAAGGTGTGATCATATGTTTTCCTTTTCTACACACACACACACACACACACACACACACACACACACCGTGGTCAGGTTTCACTTAACACAGATCTGCCAGTGACGCCGTCGCGCTCCCGCCCCCGAACATCTGCAGCAGAGCCATCGCTCGGCCCTGCTGAGTCAGCCAGCGATGTTTACACATGCGTCACCTGCGTGCGTGCACACACACACACAGTTACATACTGTAGGTGACAGATTGCGTCCATGTGATATTCATGACCCACTTTGCGCGAGAGAGGAGGAGGTTCAGAGCCTTCGGCTCTCTGCTGGTTGCTTCACCCGTTTCTTCTGTGCTCTCCTCCCTGTAAACATGAACTTGTTTATAGAGATAAAGATTGATTTGTTTGTTCGGTCAAACCTCGTGCGTGGGTCCTTTTTTAAAGATGCAATTAACAGGATTCAGAGCATCAGAGCAGCAATGTGTGGAATTTGGCGCCATCACATTGCAGCAGTGAGAACTGTCCTGCCTCAATATGGAGCCAGTCCCCCGTTTCTCCATTCCAGGCAACTTTCCTACAAACACACAACCATTTCCATCCATCCATCCATCCACCCATCGTCAAACCGCTTATCCTGCACACAGGGTCGCGGGGGGGCTGGAGTCCATCCCAGCCAACTTCGGGCGATAGACACGGTACACAACCATTTCCATTCGACTAAATATTATATTCCACTTAGATTGTTTTCCATTGTTCATTTTAATAAAGCAGCAAACAACCACCCAGAGATGACATGCAATGTACTATGGTGAATGAATGACGATTTGCTCCCTGTGTGTGCAGCTTCCATCTTGCTTTGTTGACATCGCTGGGACGGCCTTCCCGGCATTCTTGTGGGCGTTAGTGCACGTGAGCGTGCACGTGAGCGTGCACCACTGGCCAGCTCGCTGCCGCCGATTTGCACCACTGTCGTACAGCGGATAACTTCGTGGTAAACACAGTTATTTGTCTTTATTAGCCCTGTTAGCTATTAGCACTGTTAGCTCTGAGGCACCTTTTAAATAAGACAGAAGTTTAATTAGTCTGTTAAAAATATATTAGAACGTCTTGTGCGTTTGGTCGTCCAAATAGAGTGTAATGTTGTTCTCTGGTTGATGTGTGGGTCTACAATAAACATGAGGGGTGATTTATTGAGGCTGATCTCTCGTCTAACAGCGTTAGATCTGCCCAATAAATCAACAGCATTACATTCACACGCAGCAGCTTGTGTTCGGAATGATGGAAGGACAAAGAGAGGGAGATAAAGAGAAGGGCGACTTCAAGGATAAAACCGCCAGATTTGAAATAATCTTCCAAATTATTCATGCATCAAGATATCAGAGCGCGTCGTCCTCCATCCTACAAACTTGGGGATCGACCGATTTACATGAAAAAAAGAACATCCATGTTTCAGTCTTTGATTTGATCGATTCGTCTCCACAGACACTCAGTCACCAGACTTCCACAGGAAGACATCGCCCGCAAACCTTATTCACGTCGGGTCTTATTTTGAATCCACGGTCGCCAACTCTCTCTTTGGTTTAACCGCGTACAATATTTTCTTATTTTTTGTGGCTTCTTTATAAAAATAAAAATAAAAAGTACCCATGAATGACCGCAGAATGCTATTGTTACCTCAGAGGAAGCGGGGAGCGCTACGTATTTAATCCACGTAGCGGGCAGCTGTTTCCAGCTCTGGTTTCACTTCTGCTCCAACTGACTAGCGAATGTCAACGCACCGAAGAAGAGGCCTTACGGTGCCAAGTGTGTGTGTGTGTGTGTGTGTGTGTGTGTGTGTGTGTGTGTGTGTGTGTGTGTGAACGAGGCGTACTGGTATGTTGGTTTGAAGCTCATATCTGTGATTGATGAACTGGATCGTCTTCTGTAGTGTGTCACATGGACGGGTATCGGTTCCTTTTCGATACTCCTCTTGGTTATTTTTGATTATTTAGTGAGTAAAAAAGACAATTCATTGAGAGAAGAATCAACTCTGCGGGCCGGAGGTTTCCGCCTAAAGTTAGTTCATCCAGCATCTAAAGCCTTGAAGCGCCGCTCTGACATTTCAACATGTTTGTAACTAGTAAGAAGACCTGCAGTCGAGGTTTAAAACCCCCTGGAGGTTTTTATTGTCGTCATCCACCTGGGGTTTAAATACACAATAATGTGTTGGAAACTACCTCGTTGTTGACATTCGGTGGGGTGA